GGTATATCACGGCGAGACGGGAGTTAGTAGCACCAGCAGCAGCAGCGGCGGCGGCGGCGGCGGCAGCAACAGTGGTCGGGGTGAGGATGTAAGGAAAGGCTGCAGCAATGAGAGGCTGCATCGCCGAGGCACGGCGGTAGCAGCTCCTGGCGGAGAGGAAGAGAAGATCCTTTATGATCGTCTTGGCTCGAAGGAGCGTGGAACTCCGCGACAGAACGCTCTCTCCCTCGGTGTCCTCCTTCCCTTCCCTCTCTCCCTCTCGGCCCCGTTGCACCCCTATCCACCTCTTCGTCCTCACATCCTCCTCCTCCCTCCTCTCCGTCTCCTTCTCTTCTCCATTCTACACTACCTTTATTGGCACACCCGGTATAATAAGGAGCGAGTTTGTATTTAGTCGGCCATGCGCAGTACCGGCTGTTGGCGTATCATCGATCAGACCGGCGACTGACTATTGGACCAAAACAAGAGGATGAGAATGGAAATGGGAATAAAGAGAGGGTAGCGTAGCGGCTGGCAGAGAGCACGACGGAGATAGAGCCGGAAAAGTAGGAAGGGCGGGACACGTCGTGCCGCGTGGGGCCGAGGGGATGTTGTCGCGGAGGGACGGGGAGAGCTAGCCGGAGCCGGTGCGTGAACACAGGCGGGCGAACAGGGAGGATTTCTCTACGAGGACGACGACGACAAGGAGGAGGAGGAAGAGTAGGACGACGGTGGCGATGGACGAGCCTATAGTAACTTGCCGTGGATTACCAATACAACATACACACTGATGCAAGGCTGTAAAATCGGTATAACTCGAGGGGGACTGGGAAGGGCAAGCGACAGACAGAGATAGAGATAAAGGGAGACAGGGAAAGAGAGAAATAGACGCGACAGGAGACGCGAGAAGGAAGACAGGGAGGACGAAGCGCCTTCACCTGCTCACTTCTTGCCGCAACACTCGAGCTCGATGCCAGCAGCATGTATTGAAACTGAGGCTGAAGAGTCCGCCGTCAGGTACTACCTCGAACGAGGACCCTCGAAGGTCTATCTAACCACGAGCTTTTTGCTCGTCCGTCGTGGAAAGGCGAGACGGAAGAAGTGGGGTCGTGATCTTTTGGCCGGCGTCCCGGTCGATTTTGGACATTTCGGCACATCGCGGCTATCCGTGGATATCTTCGTGCTTATCTCGCGATTCGTTACGTCACCACTCGGCCGAAGTGCGTCGAGCCGCCCTTCGAGAAGGGCTCGAGCCGGATTTCACGTACTGAATATCACGTCGCATGCATCGACGAAATGATATTCAAATTTTTACAGGATATCGCAAGTTATTATACATGGAATGCCGTTGGAGGATCAGACACATTCCTCGAGCGTTCAAGGGATATTGCATATCTTAACATATGACGAACCATGAACTGTTATCTTCAGTTTTTGAAGCGTTAAGGGCCGGGAACGTTGATCCATTTCTTTAAGTGGTGAAAACGTGGAACTTCTGTCAGTTCTGTTTGGTAGCCCTTCATGAAGAATGTTTTAAGGAATGTTATACTGAAGAAACGTTACCAGTACATTCATCGACTACACTTTTCAGACTTGAATGAAATATGACAACTATTGTGCGATCCACAATGTGTTAAGAGCTCCTCATCGCGACACAGAGCAGTTCTATTGTAGCTTAACATAGCGCGGAAGGTAAAATTACTCGTCTGTGCGCAATGATTGCTTTTCACATTTACGGAACTTCACGGGAGAATCGACGGCGAGTTCGTCGCGAACTATCCGCGCGTACCGATCATAAGCGCTCGTTAGGATAATCTCGCGATACACAGCGATCAGCAAGGATCTCGGCGAGGGACACTCGGCGGAAGAATCAAGAGGACCTTGCTAATCGCGTCGCGCGGAACAGAGCGATGGCGAAAGGTTAAGAACCGCTCAGCGCCGCTTGTTTCCTTTCTTCAAGATTCGTATTAAAGGACGTATATATACATGATGAGGCAGGGTGACACTGTCCCAAGGATAATTGGAGATCTCGTTACTCCCTACCGGTAACTTCAATTTACGATCGACCGATAATGAGATATCGAATCCTGCTCCTCTATCTCCGGGCTTTCGCTCCCTTCCTCCCATCCCCTCATCCTCCTCTTTCCTCTTCCCCTATTCTCGTCCTGGCAGCATCTTAGCCCCGATATCTCATAGCTCCTCCGGTTTATGTTCAAACAACGACGTCGAGACTATGGCATATTTGGTGTCTCTTAGGCACTTATTAAACATCCTTTTCGGCGAGACGATGCCAATGTTATCATGTTTCGATGAAGAGAGACGAGAGGACTCGTACGAGCCGCTCGTTTACGCGTCTCCAACGCGGCTAATATATCGCGAGCGATTTTCGTTCGTCTTCTGGCGACAGAAAGCTAGTTAATTGTTAAGGATCTACAGCAGAAGATGATATTTTAATTGTTCACAAAACAAGAAGTACACTGCCGGCCGAAAGTTTGGAATCACCTACTGATTCTTCACAAAAGCGAATTTTTTTATTCGTTTTGTTGTGAATCCGGTCGTCTGAATTGTGAAGTGTGATTTTTAAAAGGAGTAAAAGTATTGAAACTACCCCAAAATCGTTCCACTTTCACAAAGTTCCTCTTTTGCTTAACTTACACAATGATTTCAAGCTTTTGACCGGCACCGTGACGATGCGATTAACGTGAGGAGAACATTGGCAGGAAGAAAGAAACGTTGACATGATCTTTTGGACGTGTGATTTTTTAATTAAAGAACAGCTTCATCACGAGGACTGCAGCTGGTGGATTCTCTCGATGTCGAGGGTGCGTCCGACCTTCTTAGCGCGAGCAAGCGCGAGCGCGAAAAACCGCGTGTCCGACGAAATCTAAGCGAAGGATAATTTCGGGGTGGCAGCGCAAATTGACAGGGCGACGCGTTTCCATTCACTCGAATTACGCGCCGATTCTGCCGGTGACTTTGGCATTGTTGCTGCAAATTGGTCCACGCCCTAGCCTGCGGCCACCCTCTTGCGCCCTCATGTACACGCACTCGCGAAACGAACGAATAAATGAACGAACAGACGAACGAACGAACGAACGAACGAACGAACGAACTCGACTTGATGCGGGGGCGCGTGCGTTTACGATTCTTTCGAAATAACAAACGATCGCTGGCAATAAGCGGAGCGCACGAAAGAATATTCTCCGCGCCGATGGACCTTGGCCTGCGGCGGAGGTAAAGCGGATTAACGAGGATCCGATTGGCCGGCGCGGGAACCGATCACGGAGCCGAATTCGGAGATTCACCCGCGCCCGTGCTTCCGCTCGTTCTCGGTTTCCGATCGTTTACGCGCGGCTAACGAAAGGGAACAGGCGAGGGGGTGAAAATAAATAACACACCAAGCGCGGGACGGGGGATCTTGATCTCGGTTTCAACGGAGATAATGGCGAGATAACGATCGCGGCTTTGTTAATGAACGCCGATGAGGTGATTTTGAGTGACGTTCTCGGGCGAGAGCCGGCATTTTCGCGACGCGACATCGAGGTCTGCCGGAAGAGGAGGATCGCGCGCGCGCGAGAATTGGCCGACTGTACGGTGCGGCGCGATTGCGACGGACAAGCGGATCGTAAACAGCGCAAATTTGTCGGACAGAATCGGGCTTGTTACTACACGTGGAAACGTGGCTTCGTTACACGCGCTGCGCGCCCGCTCCGAGGAAGCGACACGCGTCTTCGCCGTAGGAGGTCGAGTCGTCGGGATCGCTAACAAGTAAGCTAACGGCCATGAAAAACAGGACAGTGGCTCGCGATAAGGTCGTTTGAGCGTGATACTTAACTACACAACAGCGTCGCGGCGCGTGTCGCGAGCGAGCAATGAGTGCTAATTGGATAAAGTAACCGATCGTTCGGCACGATCACCCGGCGCTCTAATTAAGGGAGAATTACGCGAGCGGAGAATACGACGTGCTAATTATTCTCGAGCGCCGATGTGGCCGAATCGAGCCGTATGATCTGACCTGAACTCTTTTGTGATACATCTTGTTGAAGCCCTGAAGATGTTTCTTTAACATTTCCAAGTCGAAATTTTAGCTTTACTCACAATTCCTGAACTTTCTAACATCTGTATATTCTGAAGGGTCGGTTTAACACACATGGAGACTGAAGTCCTACTTGGCCTTTAAGGCCAAGTTCCACAACATCTGTTTAATTTTAACTACCGGTTAAGTCCCAATAGTGATAATTAATTCTGATTAACTCTTCTTAATGTCAAATGCGATTGGTCAAGTCCAATAGAATAATCAGCCAGTTAACTGGAGGTTGTGGAACTGGGTCTAAATGGCAGAGGATACGCACAAGATGCCGTTTATAGGTTCTAAAGAGAACCTCTTGGCGAAGTTAATAAGTTAAATAGAATCAAAAACAATTGATATAAGTCTTAGAGTATCAAAGTAGACGTTAGAGATATTGAGAAAAAAAGGGATCCTGAATCGAAATTTTAATCTTAACTTGAACTTCTTATCTATGTAATCTGTGTATTCTGAAGAATCAAGGTTAATACACGTGAAAACTGAAGTCCTAAGAATCAAAATTTCGACTCGGGATGCTGCGCTGGTCATCGATGATGACTGGCATTATGATATTGCCGCACCTCATTGAGCTACGTGTAAGGTATAATTAATTACATCTAGAAAGTTGATTATACGGCCAATAGAGAGCCGATGAAACGAGGTAAAAGATACAAACATCTTGGATTATTTACTTAATTACTTATTTATCGTTATCATTAATCATTCGATTGTCAATAGAGCTTTTGCATAATCTTTTGCATAATGCAGTGAAAATCAGCGCGACGGCGAACGTGTTAAGTGTTTTAATTTTTCGAAAAATTTGCTGGGAGATAGAATATTTTAACATTAATTGAGAAGCTAATTGGATCATCCCTTTCGTTTGTCGCATCCGTTGTCAGAAAATATTTTTGCATATGCGATACATCTTTTCTGAATAAACGTGGACTTTTTCCAGGTGTGGTTTCAAAATCGGAGAGCAAAGTGGCGCAAGACGGAGAAGTGTTGGGGCAGAAGTACCATAATGGCCGAGTATGGTCTATATGGGGCAATGGTCCGACATTCCCTGCCACTTCCGGAAACCATTTTAAGAAGTGCCAAGGAGAACGAGTCCGTTGCACCGTGGCTGCTAGGTAAGCATAAATCTTCTCTGACGAAATCGTTCAATTAGTCATTTCGATAGAACGACTCGAGCGCGAACACAACACGTGTCCTCAAATCTCCCTTTAAACTTGAGCTGAAAATTAGTCGATTATAGTATCCAAATTGGTCGCTGGTCAATGATTGAGTAAAATCGCACCAACGGTACCACATAATTTTCTATCACAAACGAGGCGTGATACAAACTTATAAATATGTTATGAAAGTTGCAAAAGATGTCGAGGCCATTTGTTGCCTCAGTTCACAAGATTTCTCCATTGCCTATCGATTCTATTGAATACTTTTATTGAAATCCCAGTCTTCTCTGTGTCGGTGCGATTTTATCCCATCTTGCGATACATCTCAGCGAAAGCTCAGCGATAAACGATCGAATGAGACTGGAGTTTATCGCTGATCTGTCGAAATCTGAGAAAAAGAAACTCGCTATCCCCACCCCCTCCAACCCTGACAAGAATATTCGAGTTAAGACGGCCCAAAAAAATGTCGAATATTTTTTTCTGTCCGTCTCTATCAGCTCAATCATCTAAGACAAGCGGCTTTAACCAAGATTTCGAAAATAATCAAGAACTGATTGACTGTGGACCCGTAGGGATGCATCGGAAGTCGCTCGAGGCGGCGGAGCATCTCAAATCCGGCGGAGAGGACAGCGGCAACGACCATAACGGAAGCGGAAACAGCCCCCATCATAATCATCACCAAGGAGGACCAACCAGCTCGGAGAGCGGACAGGAGAGTCAGGATGGTATGGGACCTTCGTCGTCCACGAGTGAGTCTTTTCCTCTCTATTATGATACTGTACGTCGGATTTCGGATAGCTACGCGAAGTAAATTCGATATCGAAAAATACCCACGAATTGAAACGAGATCTTCGTTACCAAGAGAGTCATAATATGTTTGTTGTACGCGTATCGGAATATTGTTATTAGATACTACGTCCCTTAACAAAACCGGAGACAATCAGTTTGTGCGTTTCAGCAGCGGGTGCATCAGCGAGATACGCTGTATTAAGATATCGCTGAGATAATGGTACCTCGATTCAAAACTTGGAAGCTACTGCTTTGTTTTGTAAAATGACTATTGTACCTTCTAAAGAAACTGTTGTGCATTTCGCGGATTAAAAGAGACATTAGTAATGCTTTCTGGTTTAGACAATTCCTCGAACGCGGATGACGAAAAACACATTGCAATTGATCCAAAAATCCAAGTCTAGTTTCTTATCGATTAATTCGACATTCCATATGATTTATCTACTTTTATATTAGGTATATCTATTTACTTTTACGCAATTTTACACTTCTAATTTCTTACAAATTTTAAAATATTTATTGTCATTAAAAACACCAAGTCTAAGTTAGATACAAAATTCTAAAATAATGACTCAAGAATATACCACTTGTATCACCTGAAGAAGGTCCTAAATTGAAACTGAGAAGCATTATAGACGTCTTTAGCTGCCGGTCCATGTCTTAACTATGTTCACACCCGCTTTCGTGCTTTCAGGCGTTGTGCAAGATACGGAGCAGCTGAGAAACGAGAGTATCGCTTGCCTGAGGGCGAAAGCGCAGCAGCATCAATTGCAACTGAGCCTGCAACCGACGTCGGCGCCGCCGAGTGGCTCGTACCCGTCGGCGCCGCAATCCAGCACGCTGCATGCCTCGGTTTAATCGCGATCGCGCCAATTCCGCATACTTAATGACTGACTCCGCGTCCGATATTTTTCTTTTTCGCCGCTGGCGCGTGGAGGTGGCACACGTCGTCCTGCCGATCCGGGATGGCCGAACCGAAGATTCTCGCGAGAATCTCGATAGATTGTCGCGGATAAATCGGCAGCACCGATCTCGATATCAGTGATATTTTTTTAATGGGTATCCTCACGGCGAGGACGGGTCGTGCCGAGGCTCTAAGATCTCTCTGTGGTGTTGCTGGAGATTAGCTCCCGATTACTCCCTCTATCCCCAATATTGACATTCTCCTCCGGTTCCAAATTCTATTCGCAGCCACCGCGATCAAAGATACAGCTGGTCGAGAGAGATTGGTCTCAGAAGGGAATTATTCGAGATCTTTGTCGCTCTTGATTTGTCTCCGCTGGCTGATGCGCTAATCAGAACTCGCTCGTGGCGGGTTTCTCACTCGCAACGCGTAAACGACACGAGATAAACGAAAGTGGAACATTGAGGAAGTAATCCGGAATCAATCCCACGCCCCCACGAGACTTCGCCGGTGAGGAGCGGTCTCGTCCTCGATGTCCACGTTCCTCTGACGCGTTTCTGCGGATGCAGCCTGGATCGTGGAGATCGTGGACGCGTGTACACACACATGCACACGAACACAACGAAGCGTGAACGAATCTTCAATCGATCGAGCGTCCGTCTTGCATTAGCCGCGTTACGTGTCTCGCGCGTCGATCAAGTCAGGCCTGCGATGTATGGACTCAGATTCGTGCAAATCAATCCTTCGCAACGACTTGACGAATTGTATGTATAATGACGAACGATAACGCTTTAACAGTATCCGTGAGGCGTTTCAGAATGAGAGATATGCGAGACAAGGCGAAACAAAACGCCGGGCAGAACGAGCGAACGCCGCGGGAACGGAACAATGAAACTAATTGTTAAGCTTAATCCTCATCAACGAAGCAGTAGCCTACCAACGACCGGTGCAACGTACAATGAAGAATCATCGATCGCTGTAGCGGATGAAGCCGTCGTCGACGACTACACGAGTGCGCGCGTCCTCGTAGAAGAAGAATTTCTCCCCGAGGAAGGTCGTCGGCGAAGGACGAGGCGTAATTACTCGGTTCGGTCGATAAGTCGAACAGATTGACGGATGAAGAGCAAACGAAAATACCTAATTAGAAGCTACAATCGCTTTTAATAGCGCGATGATGCGTGTGAGTGTGTGGGTGTGACTGTGAGTGTGTGGGTGTGTATGCGTGTACATGAATGATATGTATTAGTGCGTGTGTATGCGCGTACTGAGAGAGCGGAGCGTGACAGGAACAATCGAAGACATCGCCTTCCAAGCGCACACCTGCAACGAACGTTGAGCAACGCAGAGGGTGAGAGAAATAGAAAGCGAGAAATCGCGGGATATTTAGCGAGGTAAACGGATCATATAGACACACATCGAAGAAACGAGGTCAAAGACTTCTACTATACATACATAAAAAGCGCCCCTATATAAGACTTACAAGTTTAAGGCAATACGCAAGCATCGAAAGCTGATTCGACCGCTAAATCTGCGTGTGTGTGTGTGTGTGTGTGTGTGTGTGTGTGTGTGCGTGCGTGTGTGTGTGTGTGTGAGAAAGAGAGCCAGAGAGAGAAATAGCGTGTATATGTGTGTATGTAAGTGCATATGCCAAAAAAAAAGAGAGAGAGAGAAAGGCAAAAACAAATTGAGAGAGAGGGGGGGAGCATGCGAGTCAAAGATTTATTAGCGAAGACTTCCTATATCCAAGTACTTAAAGAGAAACGTAACTGTTGTCAAATGTGCAATATATCGATATAAGTTCTAGCTCGGTAAGATATACTTTACTAACAGATACGTTCTACGCGAGGCGGCCGCGACGACGACGGCGTCTCGTCAGGCGCGATTGTCATAAGAACGAATCTACGCGACCACCTCGTGAGAGCTTCGCCCCTCGCCGGTCTAATTCCCTTTTAATCCTCCCCATTACCGTCGCGAGTGAACTCGCGTTATTACCGCGTTGCGCCGCCGTCTCGGCGCCCGCCCGCTGTATATAAATATATATATAAATAAAACAGAATATAAATGAGATATAAATAAATATATATATATATATATATATGTACGAATATATATAAAGAGAGAAAAACAAAAGACGATATTAAAATAAAATGTGGTTGCGGGATACACCGAGCTGGACGAGGTCCTTCGCGAGTTTGCGAGATCCTCTAACAAGAGGGACGATGGAACGACAAGTGTTTGCGTTATTGTAGTGTTTTCGAGAGAACCATCACATTGTGTATTTCGTGTCGCGTTTTTGTCACCATCGAGATCTCCGCGGAAATTTACGAGCGAGAGTGAAGCCTAAGTTGTTTGGCGCGACATTTGTAACTCGATGACTTTTTTCTACTAAATGCGTAGCGTTACTTACCTAACCTAAAGCACTCCGTCGCCGGAAATTCTTTGGCTCGACGTAAAGTTTATCGTCCTAACTTCTTCTCTGGTCGTTCGTTCGTTTTAAAACGCGACTGTATAAATGTCACCGAGCGGAGCAGTTAAAAAACCATTAGCGGGCGAAAGAACTTGGTCAACTCCCGGTATGTAGGCGGTCCATTGAAAAACTATTAGAAAGTTCATTTGGGAATTTAATTAGCGATATCGCTCTGTCAACACTTGAGAGACATACTTACGAGAGACGCGTACTTACGATGTATGAATTTCCGTGAAACAGGACGACTGGGACGGGGAATCGTTGGATTTTCGCTTATTTTCGAATATCTCCGCGGAAATCACGGATTAATGATCGAACAAAGCGTCTGGCTTCGAGAGATCCACCAAGTTATACGTAACGTAACGCACTATTATTTAAAAAGATTCGATCATGGAGAACGCGAATGGTAACCACACGTTTCACAGACAAGAGAATGTAGAGAGAAAGTGTGTGTGTGTGTGTGTGTGTGTGTGTGTGAGAGAGAGAGAAAAAGAGAAAGAAAGAACAAGTCAGGAGTAACGAAGTGGACACTGCTGTTATTGTGAAGATACTTAACGATAGGCTTTGGATCAGCGATCGCTCTGTATCCGAACGCCCCAACGCATGCATAGTAGTCGACTAGTATACGTAATAAATAAAGTTTCTGAACAAATATATATTATTACTTATTGCTCCTTTCTAACCGCAACGAAATATGTCAAGTGACTCTACTTCTGTCATAAAGTAACATGGTTCATGATCAAAAGGGCTTTTGCTCCTTGTTAGATAGAAAAAATTTATCTGGTCCACATGGTTAGATCCGTTAAAAATAAAAAAGTTGGCTGCTACGTCGTTGACTTGTGTGACACTTGAAGACAATTTTCATACCATTCAGCAAAAATAAGTTCCGATCTATAATGGATGATTTAAGCCCTAAGCCTTAAGAAATTGACCAATCACAGTCGAATGTGAACAGAATAATTGACTATAATTAGTTAATTTCTTAAGGCTTAAGTCTATTGTAAACCAAGACTAAAACATTTAAGAAAGAAAAGTCTGACACACAAACTTGTGCAATGTTTTTCTTACAGAATTTGATTATTACTTTTTTGAATGAACGATAAAGCGCATTTTTTATGTTTGTCAATTTTTTTCAAGAACATTATATTTATTTTTTATGGCGATAAGATAATAAGAAAGTTTGACCCACCGTTAAATAATACTATTTGGTAAAGGTGCGTCTGATCATCGGTCAATCGTATTACTATCTCCTATCTTCGTTCAGGTTAGTGGCGGCTCGTAGCGGAGACTTTGGAACTAACTTGAACATCACCAGAAAGAAGCATGAAAGCGGCCACCAGCCTGATTTCAATAGTCAGAGCTAGGCATTTTCGAGACGCCATCTAACAAAGTGCGCCTTTACTACGTTTGTTAGGCGCATTTTCGCGGTGGTAACGATAAAATGCGCCTGGGCCTTTATTCTTGAAATACCCAGATAGAAAAATGTGTTCATTCTGAGCTCATATTGTATTCATGTATTTTCAGACATGAGGACAAGAATAGACACCGATGCGGGCTCATATGCGCCTCAGAATGTAAACATGTTATGATGTTACAAAAATACCTTATTTAATAATAATAATCAACATCATGTCAAGAATTTGCAACATAATTTGTACATTATTTGTGTGCATCTGGTGCTCATGTCATGAGATCACGTAATGATCTTTAAAAAAGTATCAAATTGGAGTCATAGTATGAAGTCACATTATGATGAAACATGATCATCATGTATTTCTATCTGGGTGAGTAATTGATAATTAATAAGAAAAATAAATATGGAAAGTGTCTATAATGGTCTACAATTTATATAATTTATATAAGAGTATAATATATGTACTGTTATTGTGCCATGGTCAAATGTCACGCATACGTTTTACACAGAAAGAACACTGATATTGAACAGATAAAGACAGACGAGCATTGTTTGCACCGTAGTGTTGCGATACTGTTGAGAACTGTGTTGTCCATATAGTAATATTACATATTTGTATAGAAATAATGGGTCTGAGACCCATAATCTCTTAGACTCCTTATTTGTTTGGTGCTGCGGTCAGCGTTGAATTTTCTTTTTTAGATAATAACTCGGTCGATAACAGATTTCAACAGGAATAACGTATTCCATGAATCGTCCCATGAATTCGACTCCTCATTGGGAATGTCGAAAAAGTCAAAGGTCACGCGTGTTCATATCTTATTTTGAAAACTATAAAAGAAAAAAATTAAAATATTTCGGAAAGAGTTTACTCTCTTTTTCTTCTTTTTTTCAATAATTTTACTTGACTAATTTTATACACAGAATGTTCTAAGGATTCAATTTATATGTTAAAAAAGAAATCCTAGTTCCATTAAAAAAAATATATAGAATTGACACCCCCTTAAGATCTTACATTTATTTGATATATTTCTTCATGTATTAATACATGTGATATATTGACGATATATATATATATATATATTTTTTATTTATAACATATTAACTGGACATTGATCCTCTTGCAGAGTAGCTATTGCTCCACAGGAACGAGAACATCGATATACTGGATATTTACAAAAGTACAAAAGCTTATAAAACATCGACTACTATACAGCGAATTCCTCTAATCACTTTCCGCGTATCTTTCTTTTTTCTACACATCGGAAACTAACTTTAATTTCTCAGAAAGCGGCGCGTAGCCGGCGCAACACGCTTCTTCTAATCGTTCAGATCATACTCTACTCGTGTCTCTCTCTCTCTCTCTTTCTAGATTTCGCTAAAATACAAAATCAGACTTGTAATTTTCCGGAAACAGTGAACCAGCTATAGTCACTGCTTGTCTAGGCCCTTTCTGTCGCATATCTATTAGTGTCGACGAGTGTATATGATGGTCGAGTAATCGTTTTCTCACACTACCGCAAGTTTGCTCGCAATTCTGACGACAATTCCGGACGTTTCGCGCATGTCGCACAAGATGTCCATAAAATTCTTCTCGAATCTACCTAAGACGAAGGGGTAGTTGCTCGATGGTGAAACGCAATTAAACAGATATACCATCACGATTGTCCCATTAACTCCTACGAATAATAAATATGTCTTCAATTGTATGAGTTATATGCGCGCGAATTTATATTTGCATTGCTTTGATTTCGATGCAACGGGCAGGAACTTTATGGATGTCTTGTCTCATCTTTCTCCGCCAATTCGCACTTAATCGTTGGAGCTCAGCAAAGTTTAGTTGTGCTCTTGATGACGGCTCGATCTTAATTAACAAAATAAACAAATTATTAACTATGTACAAAATAAGACTCGCCTCGCGCAGCTCACGATGCCGTCGCGACCAACGCTGTTGCCGTTAACGCATAATTTCTCCGACTTATTCTCTTAAAAAAGAAAAAACGCCTATAAGTCAGCCCGTCGACTCGCATCTTCATATCGTTCTAAAAATATCGATAATTTGATATGCGTTTGCCGTAAGGATACGCGATGAATGTTAATTATTTCTCCATGATACATTGCGCACACTCGACGTAGCGAATAACGTCCATTATTTAATTATTATTACATCGCGCGACTATTCTTGACTATTTTTATTTATTGCACGACAGTTGCGATTTTGATCCTCCATTTGATCGAGAGATAACTCTAAGATTACTCCGGAACATTTTTTATTTCATACATTACGCTATGCCCGATCGCGTTGTCCTATTTTATGTGAACATTCTTGGTTGTTGCAAATTAATCGAGACATGTCAGAAATTTTTTAACGAGCACCGCGCTTTACTGCCACTTCTTTATTTCCCGAGAATGTTCATTATGCCCGTAAACAAAGTAAGCCACTCGCGTAAAATTGGAAATGTATTGGCATTATATTTGCAATTGCAATTATATTGTACTCACAAATTTTTTTATTAAAGAAACTCAGTATTTCTAAAGTCGCTCTTAACTTGCTGTAAAACTTCTCTGTAGAAATGCAACGCTAATATCACGTTTCACGATCGAGTTTCTCCTCGTTAAAGCGTGTAGCTTCTCGTGCAAAATTTCTCGTGAAAACGTGCGGAAATCTGAAATCTCTCCCCTAGCAGTTTGATGTAGAGAATCTCGGCAATATATTTATAAAAAGTTCTCTGAAAAAGTGCTATGCAACGTTAACGCTATTATCAAATTCCTGTAGGCAAACTGTTTAACAGTGATTCGATATTTCGTCGTATAAAATCTCTACGAAAGTTCACGTTGGCTATTGCATGTCTCTTATAAGTCTGGTGTACAAACGTGCCGAATGTTATACGAAGATCTTTATAGAAAAAGTCTTTAGGAACGAAGAACTCTTCTAGCTACGTAATGAAACTTGCACGAATTAAATCGTATACGTACTCTTCGCGTGTGGTAGTAAATATTGTAAAAATGCAGTCTCTCGAATTAACGTCTTTTCCTACGGTGTTGGGTGGATTTGTACGAAACACCTGTGTTAACCGGCGTTGAGGAACGCGCGTGTCAGCTGCACATGTTATCGCGTCGCCGAAAATTCGCGTTGAAAGTATTTTTATGGTCGTTTGAATGCCAAGAGACGCGATTTCGCTTTTTTCAGTTCCGAGGAATATCGAAGTGATAACTCCTCTTGTTCGGCAGTATCAATCTCGGGGGGTTTCGGCAATTCGTAGGAGGTTTTAGTGACGCTCTCGAGAATCTTCACGGTGAGTGCTGTGCCTGCGCGATTCTTGGCCGCTGGGTGTGACCGGTCGTCGCTTCGACCTCTTGAACTTTGCAATATCCTCACCAAACACATCACCGGTGCGCAACGCGGATATCAGATCATCAAACTCGCCCTTGTTGTCATTTTGTCCGTTGCCGTTCGCCTCGTTCTTCTTGCTCAGTGATATGCTGTTCAAAATACCCTCCCGCGAGTTCTTCCTCTCCATCGTTCTCTTCCGAAGCTGCAACGGCAATATCCACATTATAAAAGAACTTCTTGCAAACTTATTATATGTACAGTGGCTTGCAAGACAGTTTAGACATGCTGAAGTTGGGAACTCACACCAAATTATCAAAATTGAAAATTATAACTATGTAAGAGAAAGACTAATAATTATATTATTGAATATTATTATTTTATTAATATTATTATTATTATTAATATTATTATTAATTATTATTATTTATCATTATTATTATTTTTCAGTAAGCTCCCAATTCTTGTCTCTTTGGCCAATATCTAAAGACAAATTATATTTTAATACAGCAACATATATATCTTGTATCATAAATATTTATGTAGCGGAAAATTCAAGAATATTAAATTAGTTATAATAATGTGGGTTTATAATAAAAGCGCTACCTCCTGTTCCTGTTTTGCCCTACGTTCTTCCTCTTCGACTTTCTTCCTCATGTTCTCCACATCTTGTCTCGCTTCGGCTAGAGCTTGCAGGAAATTCTCAAAGATGCCGAAGAATTCATCCGGTTGGACGCCGGCCGAGTCTTCGCCGAACAGTCTAACCGCTCGATCAAACTGGTTTGGAAATAGAAAATAATTATAATAATCAAACTTCTGATTGACAATAATTAATGATAGATAAAAAGATATTCTCACCCTAGTCTTCATATCTTGGAACAAGTCCTCTGCTTCAGCTAATCTACACGTGGCTTGCGCCTGGAAGTCCCTCATTGCTGGCAAAAACATATCACCTTGAAGTACCTGGGCTTGACCCCGATGAAATTCTGAAAGAAGCAGAATATTAAACACGAATAGCATGAACGGCAGAACAGAGATTGTCCTGTTTCCTCTTCGTTCAATTTCACGTATTATCTCCGCAATCGCGTTTTATTTTCCAATAAGAACAAATTCTTAGAAATCATTATTAATTTTGAAGACTCGTACAAGTGCGGAAAAGAGAAATCTCCACATGATTAAAGTTTTTTTATGTTATTCAAGTAGCTCAATTCAATATCTTGACGCGAGTTACGTCGACAATTTTCCAAACAACTGTCTTATAATCTTTCTTTACCTATTTCTCTCTGAACATCTTGCAGTCCGTTCTTCAAGTTGGCCACTTCCTTCTGCAGATCGGCCATGCTGACTCTGGCGGCAGTCCTGACATGAGGCATGTCCTCCTCAATCTCTAGGACCTCTCTGAATCTAGCCTCGAGGATCTGCACGAGATAGTGCAGCAGCGTAGTGCCTTTGGAGCAAGAAGACTTCGTATCGACTAGACGATTCAAAGAAGCCAGCCGGAAGCCGCACGCATTACCGCGCGCGTTTCCGCGATTCACATAATTTCCCAATGCCAAAACCAATTCCAGGAGTTTCCTGAGTCTTCGGGATCTGGCCACTTGCCGGCTTGCTTCCAGAACCGCTCGCATCCTCGGAGTTAGTTCTGCGATGCTTGCTGCGAATTTCTTTTTGTAGTGCAGCGAACGTAGCCTCTGCTCATAATGCGGAACCCTAAAAACAGGGATTCTTCATTAGAATTATTCTTAGATTTATTCTTATATTCTTCATTAAAATTGTTCTTTATTAGATATTTCATCGGTATAATTTGTGATTACGGAATTCGCGTTTAACTGCAAAGCTAGTAGGAACTTGTTCCAAGACGCACAAATCAGAAATTGAGAACATCTTATCATTAGTTGAAACTACAAGTCGGAAATTTAATTATATAATAGCGTAAGTAAAGACAACTCACTTGGATATTTGATATAAGAAGCAATCGGCCCTGTTCTGCAAGTCCTTCTGATGCATGTCTAGCAAGGCGGCTTCCTCCGAGGACGGTATGTATTTCAGTAATTGCTCTACCATATCGATGTGCAAGATGTTCTGCTGATCCATTGACAATATCGTCCTGGTGATTTCGTTATCTGTCATTTTCAGCTTCGACAGCAGTATTGTGCAGTTCTGTGCTCTTCTCGAATCAATCACCGACATTGTTTTCTTATTCTTTCCCAGTGTCCTCAAATCTTCTATCGAGCCTTCTGTGGATACGCCATTCTTTTGATAGGCGCAGAAGATCTTATCGATAGATTCGAGATCCATAATATTGTAAAGCTTCGTGTCGTCCAACTCGGACCATATCGTACCCTGCAGCTTCTGTTCAGGTATCTTCGACCAATTGAACGACTTCAGAGGATTGCTCGGCTGCGGCACGTTTTTTATTATCTCCACCTGCAAATTATTTCGATCAATTGTTACATTATTACCATTCCTGATCATAATAGCTTGAAAAGCATGTAAAAAGTGTAGTAGTAACCTTCATCGGTGGCGGTGCCGCCGGCATCATGCAAGGAGGTGGCGGAGGTGCTAACGGAGGTGGTGGCGGTGGCGGCGGGGTAGGTTTGGTCTCGACCTTCTCGAGCACTTCGTCCTCCACGATTTTCAGAGTGGCTTTTGCATCGTCTGGCAGACTTCCCGATGCCACCAGCTGCTCCAAACGCTTTCTTTCGGATTTCTCGTTGTTAATTTGTCGCGACAGTGTCTCCAGGTTATCCTGCAATTCGGAAATCTTCTGCTTCGTCTCTATGTGCATCGAAGTTTCCTTCTCGAGGCGCTCCTTGATCCTCGCCAGACTGGCCTCCATGTCTTCCTACAAATTGTAATTCCCAAATTTCCCAAATTGTGCATCGCTTTTTTTAGCATTTTATAATGCCTAAATTAATGAAATAAAAAGAAAAAAGAAACGAAACTGATTCTTGAAGAATGTATAATACATAGATAGTATAATACATAGAATGTATAATACATAGATAGAATCGTACTTTTTCTTGAGTCCTCAGATCCAACTCCTGCTCTTTCTTAGCTAGCCTCGTAGACATGTCCGAGTTTTCGCGTTCCAGCTCTTCAGCCTTCTTCCTCGCCGCCACGAGTTCCTCCTCCTTCGCGAGAAGATGGACGATCTCCTTCACATTAATCTCGATTGGCGCCACGTCGGGGTTCCTTATCGACCCCGTCTCATTGCTTTCAGATTGCAGGACGATCTGCTGCACGATTCGATCAAATAGCAGCCAATGCTGAGGATGCGAACCGTAATCCACTGGAAGAAAGACGATCGACGTTATTACGTTATCGTGTTCAGTAACTTGAGGGCAATTTCCTTCAATTCAAGGACTCACGTGGCAACAGAAGGCAATGTTCCAGTAGGCTGAGAAGATGAGGATAGGCTGCGGTGTGACTGAGCTTCCGTCGCAAAAGATCAAACATGGCAGTCGCGCTCTTGGTATCCACATGCTCCTTTTCGAACTTCCTGGCAAGCTCCTTCTCGTCCTCGTTGCGCACCATCTCGAAAAAATCGAGATGCCTATCGAGCGTCTCGTTCTCATACTTCCTCAGCTTCTCGATGATCGGCTGAATGCCGAGCATCAGCAGCTCGTATCGCAGATGAAGCCGGAACTCGAGCGTCACCTGACCGGGTCCATAGTTCAGCACCGCGTTGATGAACGACATGATCGCCGTCTTCAAGGACAAGTTGTCCTTGTAGATGCCGAAGTTCTTGTCAAGATCGTTGATTATACATTGGAAGCGCGTTCTCTCGGAATGATATTGCTGGAAGTGCAACATGGCCTCGAGGACCTTACGGTGACCGCCCGGTACCAGGCAGACAGCGCCGAGGATCTCCAGCACGGAAATCTTCGTCTTTATGTTCTCAGTCGCCAGCGACTGCGATATCGTGTTGATTGCTGTAGGATGCGCTAACACGTGTGCTCTACCGTTCTAAAAACAAAACAGAAGAATCAGATTAAGATAATATCCCGTTTGAAATTCATTCCCGCTGAAATTGGACGTATATAGAGTAATATCTTCGTTAAATGGACTCATTATCCGTCGAATCTTTAGTCAAAACAAAAGTGCAGAAAACTTTAAGATGATTGCGGAGCTCACCGAATTGTTCATTAAAGCTTTCAAGCATCCGATGACGCTAGTGTGGAGATTGCTGTTCGCCGCCTCAGCATCCATCGTGCCCAGCACTTGCAACAGAGCGTTCAGGCCATCCAGCTCGATGAATCTGAGAACGAAGCTGTGCGGCTGCGTCCTCAGGGCGGTCTTCAGGGCCTCGACTTGGCGCATTTGATTCGACACCTCCTCGCCTTCCTCCGGGAAAGGACTCTGCAACGCAGTTAGCGGTATGCTAATGAGAAGCACGCGAGGAAGAAAGAGAAAGAGATCAAGCCGGAAATAATCCGATAGAAGAGATAGGGATTCCCTCCCTCGATCGATCTTCGTAACCTTCCGGCAAAGTCGTTAACTAAGCCGCCTTATTATCACAAGTTTACGAGCGACAGGAGCAACGCGGGAACACAGAGAACTCCATGGATCGTCCGCGGAGCTTACGGAAGCTATGGGCTCTGTTCTCCTATGGGTTTTGCACGTCCATCTTCTAGTTTCCATTCCAACCCGGATCTCCCTTTTACGCTCTTCTCGATCCGATTCTCGATAAGAAGGGCCAAGAGGAAGTGCTCGTGTGATCGTAATAAGCGGGATACAAAGATATAAAAAAAAAAAATGATAAGGCTTCTCCGGTAAGTGAGGAGAACGTTCGTTACAGACGTCAAAGTGCCTTTATTCACGTCAAGGACACACACGTTCCGGATTTACTTCTTTGATAAAAAAATTACTTCCATCCGGTGCGGACCTTTTCTCTTTAAACGTGCATGCACGTTACGTCCTCCAGAAAAACTCGCTCGGCTAGAATACATCCGAGACGGATTAAATGCAGCGCGTTTTGCGCGTGAGAGCAATGGAACGGATCGTGCACTGTTCACGGGTGTCGACGGGTACTTGGCGACTTCGTCAAACAGTCAATCGTTTACTCACGCTTGCTATCGTCTTCAGTCTGTTGATGTAGTCCTCGGGATCGCCGCTGAGATCAGTGGTTCGTAGGCCGCCATTGTCGAGCGTGCCGTTGCCCTTCCTGGAGCAGTAGATCTGCCACTTCTTGTTGGCAGGAAGTGCCAAAACCGCCTGCCGATTGGCCTGGGTCAGGTCCAGCTCGTCGACGAGCTCGAGAAACATCTTGTTCAGCTCCTCCTCGGCCGGCATCGGCAGAGTCGGCGTCATCGCTTGTAGCGTGAGCGTGCCCGTGTGCTCCACCACGCAATACGTGATTTCCGGTGGCTCGTCATCCTGTGAAAAAGGAACAACCTGATCGGTCCGACGTCCTGTCGCGCAGGATATTACAAATCACCAGAGTAATGGTGAATCGACGGCTGGGTGGTGAAGGAGAGAGAAATGCGAAGCATACACGATCGGAGGTATTTTCTCGCTGTAATCCTACGCGCGCGCGCATGAGTTGTTAGCGTGGATTTTCCGGATTTTCTCATTTTACGCGTCTGAAATGTTTTCGGATAACGATATTACATCCGACGTGACCATACGAACTCTTTGAATTTAAATAAAGTTACATTTGTATCAACGCGGCGGGAAAAGGATGGAGTATTTAAAAGTTTTTGAAACGCGCTGAAAATAATAATTTCATGGAACAATGTAATGAAAAGTAATTTTGCATAATTATTTCACTTTCTTAATTATAAATAATATAAAAGATATTATAAAAAATAACATTATATATGAGACGCGAGGGGCTGATGAGAGGGATGCTGTGAGAAATGTAATGATAATTATTATTATATTTAATATGAAGTTATATAAATGCAATTGCATCTCGCGCAACAATGGACTAGTCTTAATGAGACGGTATAACACGAGACTCGTAAATAGCATTTCGCGATCTCATCCGATGCGGATCGGGAAATGTGTTTCATTGTAGCAGTTACGCACATACAGACTTTCGGGGGAGCAGATAGCATCGCGATCAATAATGTAACCGGCTCGCCGCAATTCTTCGTGCTGGAATTTGCTTTCGATTAATAAAACACGGCGAGCCCTCCATCGGCGCGTTCCCCATCGGCGTGTCGAATCGATATCGCGATGACTTGAGCGAATTTCTCAGGGGAGAGGGGGGAGGGGCGAGGGAAGAGTTACGGCAATCGAGAATACGCAACCAGCTCTTGACCTTATTGTGAACACAAGTCCGAGCATTGAATCGCCAGGTCTGGAGAGAACGCCGCCAATGACCCGCGTCCACGGTGTACAGCACGCGAAGTGTACATGTACACGCCAAAAGTCTACACGTTCATTCAAAATCCACGGACGCGCGAGGGTAATCCGGCGATTAAAAGCGAGACGAACACAAAAGACGGCCGTGAAGTCTCATCACGGACGTAATACACTTGATTTTGTTTTTTCTTTTGATATTTTTTTTCGAAATTAGTATTTTCGATTTTTAATTCAGTGAAGTTTTCAGACTTAGGTATAGTTACAGTTTTCCGAGGAAGTTGCATATTTCCAAAAAATTCACAAATGTAGCTAAATCTGTAATTGTTTCACGCACGAAAGCAAAATAGGAAAGAGTCTCGCATTTTAGTGGATGAATACCAGGTCACGTGCGAAATATTGAAACGTTACACGGAGAGAATTTGATAGTGAAAATTACTGTAGGATTTTGTAACTGAGGGAATAGATCGGCATTCTGCAATAATTCATTGTACATGCGCTATTTATATTTCGCGAAATAAAATGAACTATTGCAACACTTGCTATGTTTCTAGCGAAATCTGCTGTCTCTGGCGGAATTTATTATGTTCCTTAGCAAAATGGACCTCACTGACGGTCTATTTCTGAGCTGCTAAAAACACAGAAAAAAATTGGAGAAAAAAGAATTTATATGAAAAAAGAAACTATATAATTATATTCTCCGTATAAAATGTGTCGTTTCCAGGATGGTGTAGGTAATGTTGCGCAGAAAGAATATATTACAATGCGGCACCGTACAGACGATCATTTCGGCTCACAGATCGAAACCGGTATAATTTCGAGGTGATCGCTTTTCGACGCCGGGGCCGCGCTGACAATGGAACGGTAATGGAAATCGCGACGAGACCGGCACGAAGCGCATTGTGTCCTCCATCTGCGGCGTCGAAATTATGCCGGTCTCGATCGTCCTCGTCTCGATCTATCGCCGTCGCTGTACGCGCGTTCGCCCTACTCGCGGACAGAGCCAGAGTCGAGGAACCAGCAGCAGCGGCAGCACCAACGGCGGCGACCGCGGCGGCAAAGGTCAGGAGACCGGCTTGGGCGCTGAATTCCTGAGGTACTTTCACACGTGACTAGGAAATTACCTATTCACGTACCGGCCGTCGATTTATTCCTCGCAAACATCATCCCCGACGATCGTCCGTGCTAAGAGGTCACGCGTGTATACGCGCGCAGGAATGTTTGAACGAATCTGCCGACGTTTCTTTATCCAGAATTTGTGTTTTTTTTTCCTTCTTTTTTCAAAAATCATCAAATATAACCGAAATTACCCGCGTCCGCGTGAGAAGCCGCGATGTATTTGGAAATAATTCGCCGTATATACAGAGGAGGTATCCTGATTTGCAAGGAGCAAAAGAAATGAAAATCGCGCAGAAAGAAAATCATGGATTACACGAAAAAAAGATGCTATAACAGAATAGGAACCAGACAAAAATTTAATGATGAGAAACGATATCTCTCCGAATAAACAAGTGTACGTAAATTTAACAGCAACTTTATCAGAGGATTTGTGAAGATTGCGCTTCCCCCTTCTTTTGAGTGATTTATGTGACATTCATTTAACATAGAATGGCGAAACAGAAATAAAAAAGTGATTAAAATTTGCTCAGAACAATATGTCATGTAAAATGTAGTGTGGAAGTCTGAGTGTAACTTTGAGTAAATTTGTCACTGCATCAAATAAAAAATTTATATTATTGCATGATACAAATTTAATGATTAATTCAGTGCAGTATATATGCCTCATATAAATATACTTAAAAAAATTATAAAGCTTCTATCAACGATTATGTTGTGATAATCATGAAAGATTGACATGAAAAATCTGAGTCTGTTATAGCGCGACAGAAAACGTTACTCTGAACATTCGGCTGTATTAAAACAATTATTAGACTCTATTGAGCTGTAACTGAAAATAATTCACCAAATACAAAATTTTATACAGGAGAATCTACTGTTTCTATCGAATCTTCATCTGGTTCTCAGACAACAGAGAATTTTGCACGCGAGCTAAGTGTTCCATATGTAATTGTGTAATCGATATATTTTAACCATGTGCAGAGAACACAGAGGAAAAACAAGGGAATTTTTGTTGAGGAGGAGCTAAAGGTCAGAGACGGCGAACTTTGTGGCGAATGTTCCCGTGGCGGGGTTGCGGCGTGGGAGAAATGCGATTCATGGGAAATCTGTTTATCCCCCGTGGTGGATACGAGATTGGGCAATCCGAGGTGGACAACATTGGCCACCTTATATCGTCATTCTAATAGCGAATTCGATAGCTGCACTAGTGCGCACTGAGTGCGCACTAAGGCTTGTTTACAGTACATTCTTATATTTAAGATCGTGTCTTAAATACATATTTAAAAACATTTTAGCTAATAAAATAATTCTTACGGATGTTGTACATATTATATTACTAGTTGAAAATATTTGAGAATTTATTCAAGACAATCTTAAAATATAATAACATATTATAAACAAGCCTTAGTGCACACTGACAAGGAAACATAGGCAACCCGAAAATTCAGAAAATTCTGAAACATTGTGTGCAAGTAGAGTAGTACATCCATAATATAAAACTATTTTTTGTTTCTGCTAAATCTCGATTTAAGAGGGTGAAACCACCCCTCGAAGTCAATGAGTGAGGAAAGAGGGGTTCAAAAATTTTTCGTTTTTGTAAAATTTGAATACACCGTTGCAAAGGGTGTAAAATATTCTATCACTTTTATATAAACTATTTTCTCATATGCCTTGTATTTTAGGAAATATTCGCTAAAAATAAAAATGTTATGTTTCTTCGAGGGGTGGTTTCACCCCTTAAATCGAAATTTAGCAGAAACAAAAAATAGTTTTATGTTATGGATGTACTACTCTACTTGCACACAATATTTCAGAATTTTCTGAACTTTCGGGTTGCCTATGTTCCCTTGTGAGTGCGCACTAGTGCAAGCCGAATTCGCTAGAAGGCCTGTTCTTTCTCTCTCTTTGACGTTTGAGAGGTCTGAGAGAATTTTACGCGCGCTCGCGCGTGTCGCGTGGGAGAGGCGGAGTGCGTGTGTGCGTGCGTGCACGTGACCGGCGCGCCATACGTTGTCGAACGTGACACGCGACCGGTGAGCACGTGAGCGCGCGCGGCAGGTAAAAAAAAAGGGTTAAACGGGTCGCGCTGGCCTGCGGTCGGCCGCGAGGCGTTAACGATGATTTATCTTGCTCGCTAGAGTAGGAACGGGCCGCGACGGCCGATGCGAAAAATCCCGTCAGGCAACTGTGTAACTAGCGACGGGCCGGCGCAGCCGTTCGTGGTAACGCGGAACCCGCCCGGAGTCAACCTTCGCGGCGCGACCCCCGTTGCCTTGCTAATGAAATCGACTAATGACGCGGAATGCGCAGGTGTGTGCGAATCGTGCGAGCGAATGTGTTGTTGCACGCTCGGCACCGATATCTTTCGTGCTCCGTTCTCCCACTCGCGTGCGTCTGTGCGAGCAAAATTATATTAAAATCAACAAATATTTCTCCTTGATGGGTGCCATTAACATATTTGCTTAAATCTACATTCTCTTTATTTCCAAGCAAAATATTGTTTATTTAAATCAGGTAAGCAATATTTGATTTAAATAAAGAGAATGGAGATTTAAGTAAATATGTTAATGGCACCCATCAAAGAAGTATTTGTTGATTTTAATATAAATTTTTTTCTCGCGTGTACGAATGGGGAATTGTAACTTTAATCGAATGTCGCGATAGACCGACTCCAATACTTAATGTCAGTCAGAAAACAGCGAATATTATTATCGTTCGATATATTCATCGAAAGAATTTGTCCAATCGAAACATCTAGGAAAAAAATGCTTGAAAAATTATCTCTGTGTAGGATATAAAGTTCATTCACAAAAATAAACTTTATTTTGCAAAGAGAAATCAATTTTCAAGCATTTTTTTTCTCAGTACATATGGTCTAAATTGCGCTAGATAAAAGTACAAATGAAATCCCGATTAAATGATATATAGTATAACAACTATTCCGATATATA